TCTTTCTTTCTTTCTTTCTTTCTTTCTTTCTTTCTTTCTTTCTTTCTTTCATTTTTTTTTTACCATTTTGTATATTTATTTATGGTGGAAAGCACTTAACCAGAAATGCTCCTTCAAAGGTCTGAAAAGCAGAAAGAAGAAAGTGGGTGAAGTAGCATGCATTATGATATATATAAATGAACTATGAGAACTTAGTCAGCGAGGAAAACACAACTGCATTAGGTGTACATTTTATATATATATATTTTATTTTAACAAGAATAATTTAGTTTTCTTGTCAACTTTCCCCGCAGTGTTGAGGTTTCACCACTAGATGGTAGTGTTGGACTGGTCATTGTATGTGTGGTTGTTATGTTGTCATATATGTTTAAATCAGGGCGCTGGAAAGAGATCTCTAAAGGGCTCTGGGTTGAATTAATCAAATAATAAACATTTCAAAACAAAACAAAACAAAAAACCTAACATTTCAAGTTAGGAACGTAACAATATTATAAGAACTGTAATTTATGCTAAATCTTTTCAACCAAAGGTAAATAAATCAAACATTTTTCAAAATTTATAAAAGTTTTTAAAAAGCAAACGTAGTAAGAGTAAATGAAAATATGTCAAATATGCCATTTTTATCACAGTTTTGAATCAACATGACATTTAAACATCTGTTTAACATTTAGTTTGATCTCATTTATCATCAGAATGAACTTGTAAATAGATTTAATAATTATTTTGTGAATGTGGGCCCAAGTCATGCAGGTAAAATACCAAACGTTGACAATGATGTAAGTCATACAGTGGTGAGTTGTACCAACAGTATTTTTCTTAAGGAAACTGATAAAAAAAAATAATGATTAGTGTAACAAATCTTGCAAACAAAAGATCAAAAGACTGGTTGGATATGGAAATGAAATTTATAAAGGAAATAATGGGTTACGTTATTAAATATATCTGTAATCTATCATTTTCAACTGGAATATTTCCTGACAACATGAAAATAGCCAAAGTAATCCCTCTCTACAAAAGTGGTGAGAAACATATGCTTACAAACTATAGACCGATATCATTACCACAGTTTCCAAAAATTTTTGGAAAAGTTGTTTGTCACCAGATTAGATCAGTTCATTGATAAACAAAATATTTTAAGTAAAAATCAGTTTGGTTTTAGAGCTAATAACTCAGCATCAATGGCTCTCATGGACCTAATTGAACACATAAAAACAGCTGTTGATCAACAACAGTACTGTGTCAGTGTTTTTTGTTGATTTAAAAAAGCATTTGATAGCATTGACCACAGTATTCTTCTTGGAAAATTAAACAAATATGGTATAAGTGGTCCAGTACTACAGTGGATATCAAGTTATTAAACCAACAGGAAACAGTTTGTACAAATTAATGATTTAAGGTCTGAACTTTGTAATATTGTGTGTGGGGTTCCACAGGGTTCTGTACTGGGACCAAAGATGATTCTTCAACATATTAATGACTTGATAAATGTATCAGGGTTGTTTAGATGTGATTTATTTGCAAACGACACCACATTTTTTTTGCCTGGGTAAGAAAATAGATCAGATGTTGGAAATGATGGAAATAGAATTTGTAAAAGTAAAAACTTGGTTTAATAATAAATTAGGATAAAACAAATTACATGATATTTAGTAATAGAAAGAAAACAACTGATGTTCCATTCAGAGTGGATGCTGTTGAGATTTGCAGAGTCAATGAGGTGAAGTTTTTGGGAGTCATCATTGATGAAAAACTGACATGGAGACCTCATATAAATAACTCAATGAGAAAAATTGCGAAATCTAACGCAGTATTGTATAAAGTTAAGGAGTTATTTAATGACAAAACACTATTTATAGTATATAATGCAATAATTGTTCCACTTTGATTTAAGTCTGGGGAAATGCATGCAAGACAATCACTAACCCTATTTTTATTTTACAAGAAAGAGCAATAAGAATTACCACAAGAAAGCATTACTATCACCCATCTAACATATTGTTTCATCATTTAAAATTATTACAATTTTATGAGGTGGTTGATTATAACATTCTGCAGGTTATGTATAAAGCTAATAAAAATGTGTTACCTTCAAACATCCAATCTAATTTTGTTAAAATGGAAAGCTGTTATAATTTGAAGGGACGACAAATGTTTGTTAAACCAATTATCTGAACAAATTTGAAGGACAGATGCACTTCAGTAAAAGATGCAAGACTATGGAATAATCTGGAAAATAATTTTAAAACCAATGGATCAATTAATTCCTTCAAAAAAATGATCAAAGCAAAATCGTTAAAGAAATATGAAATTGTTTAATTTGTATTTGTACGAGTCACTGTTTGAGGAGTTGAATTTTTGTTTTTGTTTTATTTGGTTTATTATTGTTTGAAATATCATTTTTTTGTAAATAGGAGCAGATATCATAAGATTATTTTTCTTCTGCTGCCTTTCATTTTATTTGATTTGCATTGTTTTGTTGTGTGTAATATGTTTTGTTTTGTTTTGTTTTGTTTTGTTTTGTTTTTTTAATGAAATGAATAAACTACATATATATTTTTAATCTTTTATTTAAAATTCAGTAAAACAAGAATTCTTTAAACCTATATTATATTAAATCAG